CAATATGCGCAACGATCAGGCCATGCTCCGGTCCCTGGCATGAGGAAAGTGGAGCAGCGAATTTTGGAAATGGGGTTCCTTGGCGTGCAATGTGCCATCATCATTCTGATCATGGTTGTGATTATTAAATTAAATCCAACAAGGTGATAATCCTATCCAACAAACATATCATGGGTCGAACATTGACACCCAGTGGGCTACACATTTTGAACCATCATGGTTATTTTCAGTACGAACCATCCGACATTTGGGGTACCCAATGACTTGGCCAAGGGCCATCCTGTAGGTGGTACAGATGGTATGGTCATGGAGCATCATGAATCACTTTTGGGGGTTCCTGCGTGTTGTCAACATTTTGGATAAGAAGGTTTTAAGTGGGACATGTTGATGAGGACTGGATTTGTGTTCAAAATGTTTGATGAGATTTTCACGGTTTGCGTGTGTATTCTTAGTTCGACTATAGGGTGATCCTCAAAGAAAACTATTCGATACTGGGTCGCAACTAAATAAATGCGGGTCCCCAATACTGTACGCCGTAGCCGTGTTCATCAATCATGGCAAATAAATCATTGAGACGGGTGTTTTGAAAACGAAACAGGCATTGTTTTGCTCGCAGCATTTTTGTGGCTCAAAGCCAGATCTTTGCGCACGCTCCTCCCATGTCTAGCTTGGAGTACCTTGGTAGTTCAACCCGCTATCCGGTAGTTCAACCCGCTATACTAGCTAGACCCTGGTTGAGTGGGTCAAGCAGGGTGAATTTTGTGTGGACAGATTACCATACCTGTTTCTCAATAATTGGTTTGCAGCGTATCTTAAGCTTTTTGGGGGGATCAAACAGTCGCACTCAGAATCGGTGGGCGGAAGGTGGGTTTGGTCCACTTCCGAATGGCCATCAAGCACATCTATCGTGACTGTTAGGAGAAGCCGTTGGAGATGTTTCCCTAAATGGTTGGGTGATATTCAAAAAGGATGACATTATACTGGCAAGAGACCCCAAACAGTGTGTGCGTGTGTGTGAGGATAATGTATGATAATATTGAGGATGATGATGAGGAGGAGGATGATAACGTTGCGGACAATGATGTTGAGGATGATGATGTTGAACATAATGATGTTGAGGATGATGATGTGGAGGAGGAGGAGGAGGAGGACCGATCCCACGACCGCAACCCACAGTTTGTGCAAGCCTGCGCGGTCGAAATGCACATGGACATGTCACGAGAGCCATTTTATGCGGAAATGTACAATGTACAAGAAAAATGCCGCGCCCCAGGACCGCGCCGCAGACTTTGTGCAATCCTGCGCAATCGAAGTACCCTGGGACATGTCACAAGAGCTATTTTAAATGCATTTGAACATGCCACGAGCCATTTTATGCGGAAATGTACAAGAAAATGCCGCGCCCCAGGACCGCGACACCCGTTTTGCGCGAGCCTGCACAATGGAAATGCACATGGACATGATCACAAGAGCCATTTTATGCTGCAATTTACAAGAAAAATGCCGCGCCCCAGGACCACGCTGAAGACTTTGTGCAATCCTGCGCAGTCGAAATGCATTTGGACATGTCACAAGAGCCTTTTTATGCGGAAATGTATGGGAAAAATGCCGCGCCCCAGGACCACGCCGAAGACTTTGTGCAATCCTGCACAGTCGAAACGCACTTGCACATGTCACAAGAGCCATTTCATGCGGAAATTTGCGGGAAAATGCCGCGCCCCAGAGTGAGCACCTCGATCAAGCAGCGGCCTTAACTCCTACCGTAAGAACCCCTCAGTGTGGACACACAGTTTGGGGAAAACAATGGTGGTATCAACGAATAAGGATATACAGGATGGTGAAACGCCTGGTTCAACTGGGAATTAAGATATCATTTTGATAGCGGACTTTTTTGGGGGGAGGATAACCCTAAACTTGGATTAATTCTATATGGAAAGTAAGGGGCAGCCACCCAGCTCCAGGAATCAGAGAAAATGGTCGGCTGAGATCCTTTCAGATCCTTTCAGCCGACCTTTTTCAGGTGTCGCAAGACCTTCCTCGAAATCGTGCCTTCAGAGCGCTGGTGCGCAGCTGCCACAGCTACCAGACGTTCCAAGAGCTTGCCAGGTAACCCCCAGGTGCCTGGGATGAAGTCAGAAAACGGTCAAATGACCAGAAACGGTGCAAGTTTATGGGCAAAGCACATGGGGGAGTTTTGAACTAGAACTTCTGAGTTTTTTGTTTGGAGAAAGGCATGCTCAAAGGTCACAAATTTGACAAATACTGTCAAGGGTCGGGATTGGTGTCCAAAGCGGCGATACAATAGGTGTGCCATATCATCCGTATTTTTTTACTGAAAAATTGAAATTACGGCCTTACGTAAACCTTGACTACATAGTCTTGATAGTAGATGGTTTGCATGGAATGTGAGCAGCAGAATGTGTTTGATATAGAAGACCAAATTTGGTTGCAAGTCATCAAAACCATGTGAATTTCATGTATGTATATCTCTACAGATATATATTTAATAAAAAATATATATATATGTTGTATATATATATATATGTTGTATATATATATGTTGTATATATATATGTTGTATATATATGTGTGTGTGTTGCATATATATATATATATATTATTGTGTATGTAAAAAAATATACAATATATTGTGTATATATTTGTATATTGTATATATATATGTATATGTATATATATAAATATTATTGTGTATACAGTGTAAACTTACATCAAAGTTACACGCAAAAGTGCAAGTTTACACTTGGGCATGTAAGGTTACATCAAACTTAGACTCTTGATGTGTGAATTTAGTGTAAGTTTGATGTAAACTCAAGTCTAAGTTTGATGCAAAATTACATCAAACTTACACCTCATGAAATATAAAAATCACTGAAAAATCAGAATGTGTTCACCAAAATGTTTTGTTCACAGAAAATATCGTAATGATTCTTTTCAACTGCCCAATTTAGATGTAGACATGGAGGTAGCCCTGCTGGGCCTCCTCAGAGTTGTGAAATGACGTAGCCAAATGTAGCTTTGCTATAGTGCACCCAAATATTGTGTGTATATATATATATATTGCGCGTATATATATATACACATGATTTTTTGCCAGGGCCGTTTTAGCTCGCGACTTACGGCCGTTGGCCCTACCCTGCTGTTCGAATGATGATGGATGGCAAAACCAGACGAAAAGAAAATCAATCTACGCAAAGGTGAAATAAAAAACAGGCAATCTGTACAAAACAGGCAATCTGTACATGTACATATGTTTTTTTCACAGTCCAATCCAGTATGTATATCTATCTATATGTATATATATATATGCACGAGATGACAAACAAACCCAACCACTGGAGGGCTGATAAATTTTAGGATTCCACAACCCAGCTGCTTGGGGCATTCCAATGACCACGAGTTATGGCTAGCAATACTAACATGTATAGTTCTTAAGAGCCGGGTTATTCTTACTACGGAGGGAAATTGCTTAAATGTATTTTGGTGGATTTGAAGTGATGTGAGCTGGAGGTTCACAGTTGGTGCTGGGTACCCAGCAGCTGTCCGGACCCCTCATTTTGGCATGCTGGGGACTTTCACATGGTATGCCACAAGAGAACGGAAGCAAAGCATCTCAAACAAGTCGTCCGCTTATTTTGCATTCACGCAGCTCTAATATGGTTTGAGTACCTGATCGTGGCAGAAGTTTGTTTGCACTGTCTGTAAGTGCATACCAGCTCGAGTACCAAAGATGGATCATGCACATCCAAATGTCGTACTATAAGCTCGAGTATCATAAGCTCGAGTACCAAAGTCGTACTATAGGTACTCCCTGAGTTTCATCTGGTGCTTGACAAATGGGTGCCCAAGGTATCCAAAGAATTCCAAAGATGCTTTTCAGTGATATAGGCTTTCAGTCTGGTCCCTTCGGGTCCCATATCACCCATATCACATTTCAGGGATCCCAAACAAATTCAAGGTATCCTGCATCTTTTCGCCAAGGAGAAGGAACCTGACACGAGAGCCGATGATCTTCTGCGACGGATCACGAGCTCATTCGCTTGGAAGTCAGCACCTCGACAAAAATAATCTCTTGCGGCTTCATGGTGCCCCTATGTGCCCCTAAGAGATTCATCTGTGAGCCCAGGATTTTTGCACTAGCCTAGTTGTTTACCATGGATTATATCGTCTACCTTGAAACGGGTCGAAGTTGATTGAGACTCTCTTCGTTTCATTTTTTTACCGTATCAAGATAGGTCAAGGAAGTCTCCATCGGCCCTGAATCATAGGATCAAAACGTCCTGCAATGAGTTTACGATCTGACAAACTTCCGCTTGACGGAAGTTTGCCTGAGACAAGGGGCCTGGTGACGAAATCATCGGCAGAATCGTCATGTAGTTGATTGAATATCTTCGTTCATATTTTGCATGATCAATACTGTTCGCATTTTGTGATTCTGCAGACATGTGCGTTGGAATATGTGATACATTACCTACTTGAACGTTGAATATTACCACAATTCTCAACAGCATCGTCAGGGAACATTCTGTGCATGCAAAGCAAAGGAAAACACCCTTTTCCATCAGAAATCGTTCTGGCACAAAGATTCTCAACTCGACAGATGGACGCAATACACATCAGACACACTAACACGCGTCTCAAATCATAGTCAGAGATGTATGATCGCCGTGGCCATATGTGTCAAGGGCCCTTGAGCAGATATCTATCGGCTGTGGATGCGGTAGAAAAGGTGTGGCGCTTTCGCGCATTTCCTGTTTCGTGTGACTTCCCAGTTTCCGCTTCGCCATGGTAGCGGAGCAATAAGCTCCAGCGACCGCTGCGTGAACACCCAGGTGTTTTCTCTTGTGACAGCACTCGCTGTAACCGGAAGCGGCTTCACTGCCAGTAGGTGGAATCGCTGTGTTCCAGGAGAAGCTAGCAGGTCTACGGTTTTTGCTGCATCAACATGGATGTCAAGGATCCATTCCGAGATTTAGCATTCGATGGTAGACCTGCTGGATACCGTGAAAGTGATCTTGTCAGTGGCCAGTCTTGAAGACAAGCAACAGCACTTGGCGGGCCCACGCCTTCTGAATAGACTGAGTGGTGAAGCTTTGCGGGCAACAGAACATTTGTCCGTTGCAAGCATCCGCAGCACAGAGGGTTGGTTGGAGGTGTTGAAAACGCTTGACAAGCATTACAAGTACCTTCTTGAGACCGAACTTCACGAAGCAATTGATGAGTTTTTGTTTTTGCTGCGTCGTCATGGAGGTGAAGGAGCAACAGCCTTTGCTAGCAGATCCAAAACACAACTCAATCGCCTGGAAACCTTGATAGCCCAGGAACGAGCCCTGACCAAAAAGAAAAGAAAGAAGAGATCAAAACGATCTCGCAGCACCCGTGGTGCAGGCCTTGCATCCGATAGCAGTTCCCACCATAGCAGCCTAGAAGAATCCGAACTTGAGTCCATGCAGGACGAGCCACAAGATGAGCCAACCGATGGCCCTGATGAGCATCCGACCGGAGCTGCAGCAGCATCCCCTGCTTCTGGCCACGCTGCGGAGCAGCCTGCTGCCTTTGAGTCGCCGAGAGCCGAGTCTAGGACGTCCAAGTCTTCCAGAGGTCAAGGAAGAGGACATGCCTGAAGCCTGGAATCATGTGCAAATCAAGCTTGATAGATTCATCCGTGTCTCTGTGGCAAAATAAGAAGGGGTTTGACTGTTCCGTCAGTCACTCTCGGGCAGAGCTGAAAATTTCGATCTCAGGGACGGCAGGTCCAGCAGGATCGCAAAAGTGGTGCAGAACCGAAAGACCGACTGCTTCACTTTACTTAGACGAATTACCAGTTTAAAATGTGTAAATTCGGAGATCCGTTCGTCTGCATTCACCCTGAAAAGGGTTCCCTCAAATTGTTGGAACAACCATAGAGATCACACTAGACAAGAACTGGATCATTTGAGTGATCCGTTGGGAACTGAACCCCTTCAACTTGTAATCAGAAACAGTATACGAGCCTTTGGAGTCATTCATGAAGTAGTATCCAATCTTTAAGAAGAAGTTCCGAAAATCCAGATCACGAACCGAAACTTGTCCACAAAGGCCCAAATAAGGAAATATAAACCAGGTTGGGATCAAGCATCGCCAAGTTCAGAAAGGAATAAGTAGGGTCAAATACTAGTTTGCGGCAAACGTGCATGAAATAGACTTCGGCTCGCCGGTTCTTGGCTTGGCCAGTTGCCATTCACGGTAAATGGAAATCTGCAGGAAAATGAGGTTGAAATAGAAGGTACGCGACTCCAGCGTCCCAGATTAATATCAGTCATGAATGCAGCCCTTTTCGTTGGGCAATCAGCTGCAAACATGAGATTTCCCCCCCCGCAATGAAAACAAGTATTCGAAGAAGTTTTACGTCTGTTCAGATGTTTCACACACACACACAAGCGGGAGGAGGGAAGGAGGGAGGGAACAAGGACAGCCAGCCACAACCAACAACCAACCAGCAGCGAGACGACTGAAGCAGGACAGCGAAGGAAGGGGGAGAGAGGGGACCAGGTGGGTGGGAAGGGGTGGAAAAAGCGAGGAGGAAAGAAAGAAAGAAAGAAAGACAGAAAGGAGTGCGCGCACTGCACGCATGGACCCACCTGAGGGAGTGGAGCGTGCACCCAGCTATACTCCTGTATCCAAGGTCGCACTGGAAGAGGTTGGAGGGGGGGAATCTGAGGCCAGGACCGGCGAGAGTATTACTTCGCCTTATGGCTGCTTCTCCCATGTGGGTACTTCGCCCATAGGGCTACTTCGCCATATGTTTTCCTATGTTTCCGTGTTGGGCTTGGACTGTCCACCTAAGCATTCAGAACTCGAAGTGCAAACGACTTCAAGATGTTGCCAACATCCTTCTCTAATCACGGGAAAATGCCCGGCCATCACATTCGTCCACGTCCAAACGTAGAGACGGTACAACCAATTGAGGTTAAGCACCCATGAACACACTGCATGAGAAAGTAATGGGGCGTTATAAAGATATGGTATTCGACGCCTTGAGGTCTCAAAACTTGGGAAAGTTGACAGATGAAGAAGACGATCGTCAAACCGACACCAACACCGGGGTTCTTGGCTTAGCCCCACGCCATTGCAGCAAACTGAAAACCAGCTGACTTTTTTTGACCTGAAACAGCCTCGAGGAAGAACAGGTGATCACAACTAAGCTAGCAGTTGCGTCCTGTTTTCATATCGCAGGAAAGAGTGAAGGTCTTCATTGGTGCCAGCTTCATTCAATCCCCTGGCACCCCCTGCATGTTAATAAAAGGATTGGAACATGTTTGGAACTGCACGATTGGAACTGACTACACACCCGCGCGCGTGCAGACATTTACACATGTACACAGATACGCGCATTTACTCATACAGAGTCAGAATGTTGTCTAGCCAATAATGATACCTTGTCAATAGTAGAAACGTTTTTTCCCAACTCCAGTTTTTTCTCCAATACTAAAAGTCAATTAGCCTAATTTAATTTTAGTATGCCAAAAAACTCATGTTCTGACCTTGTCCAGAGGGCATGGTATAGTTTTGCAGATGTTTGGAGAGAGCAAAGTAAAGCAAAACCCTTTTCAAAGCAGCAAGCACTTTTCATTAACAAAAGTTTAGATTCCAGAAATCTGGTCCAATTACCAAACAGCTGATTTCCTTATAAAACCCTTATTTAAAAAAACAAGAAAACAGGTCCACAAAGAGTATCCCCTTTACAAGCCCCAGAATAGCAATAATAAACCTGCACCAGGCATGGCAATAATGAATTCCAATTGTGCTTCCCCTGGTTTTGTTTTCAGATGTTTGGAGAAAGCAAAGTAAAGCAAAACCCTTTTCAAAGCAGCAAAGAGAATCTATCAGATACATATCATGATCCCAGCCATAGGGTTCCAGGAATTTACTATTGGAATGCTGACCCCCCCAAAAAAAATAGGGGGAGGGGGGTTTATTATTAGGCAGCCTGCATTAGACAGAAACAGAAAAACATACAGAGAGGCAGGAAGACACACTGACATCTGACTTTCCGGTAATTCCACCACCTTGCCCAACGCACAGGACTGGCCTGAGGACATTTCCACTAGCGGCAGCCTCGGGCATCCGTTTCTATGCCGTGCCCCCTGCATCCGCGCAGTTCATGGAACGTGCATGAAAGGTCCCAGGTCAGGGATGGTCAGGGATGGTCCACTTGGGTGTTAAATTGGTCGAAACTTTGGCTTGTTGACGTCCCCATTACATCCCGGTTGAGGCAACGCATTTTTTTCTCCACGTTTGAATTTTTGCAGGTGCGAGTTCTGCCACCAGGAACATGCCAATCCCAAGCGCAAGCTGCGTAGAGAGGAGCATCGTGGGCCATGGGGATTTGCCGCGCACGGCGCAGGATTATGAACCCAGCATCATCAGGTTCATACATCAGATCATCATGTATGTTGAGTCAGGGGATCGGTCTGAGAAGAACTTCCATTTGAAGGATTTTCAGCGTGATATGTCTGGGTTTTTAAAGGTATATATGACCATGCATTCATAAGAATTCCATGGTGAAATTCCATTCCCAGGGGCATCATTGATTGATCCAGCTCTGTCGGTTTCACAAGCAGCCATGCACTTCAATCATTCCATTCCGTGAAACCGTTGTCAACCCACCCTTGACTGTCCTTGGAAGTGGCAGGAGCGGCAGTTTTTGGAGAGCATGCGGGAGTTGCTTGCTTTGCTCATGTTGCAATGGCAGCTTGAGAGGCTCTTGGTCACGCCCAGGCTTAGGGATGATCTCCGCCTAGTTCTGGCAGTTTTGGAGCGGCGGGTGAAATTCTTAAGGCAGGTGCAGCCGCCGACCCCCGGTGAGCTACGGCAGGCCAGGGATAATCAGTGGATTCTGCGCGGATTCTCCTTTGGCCACCTGTTCACTTCCCTTCAGCACTGGCCCCAAGTCAGTGCCACATTTAAAAGTGAAGTGAAGCTCTTAGTGGATAGCGCACACCGGAGTATGGAGATGCAACGGTTGGGATAAGAGAACAGAATGGAACGGACGGCCTTAAAGTTGCGACAACGCCTTGGGCGGTCCAGAACATTATAGGTTATAGACTATTTAAACCTAATTAAATCCAATGCACTCCGGCGTACTTTCTGAGCAAATTTCAATGGCCTTAGAAGGATTTCACAACGACCTCACCATAGATAATGGTTTGCAGGCTGGCAAGAGGAGAAAAGAAGGCATCTTAAAATGGTATCAAATTAGATTTATCAAGGTCTGAGGCTTCTGATAATTTGCCCAGGTTCCAGGAACAGGTCAAGCTTCAGGATGAACGTCTTCTGGAAGCGATGGATCTTCCGGCAATGCTGCTAGTAACTAGTAGCCATATCCAGACAGTATACATCTGCACTGATACAACAATCTTTGCAGCAGAAAGAGAGCCTCCCATCGATTTCGCATGATTTCAGTGCAACTTTGGATGTGGGTATGGGCCAAAATATATCAAAATGATCAGCTCCACGATGGATGCTTCCATGGAAAATATATTCACTTGTCTTTTTTGTGGGCTCAATAAGGTACCCAATGATTTGAGGCACACAATGGGCCCATCCCCATATCATCATGTTCCAAGGGCGCATGTTTTCTGCTGGGAAGACCCATCCATTAATTCTCAAGATTTTCAAGTCCAGCGCCTGGTGCGCCATCACCACAGATGCCAGCTGATGATATATAAATATTTTAAATCATGGCCCAGGTCTACATCGCATAGGTCCCAGGCCTGGGCCACGAGATGTGACAGTTGACTCAGCGGCCGGAAATCCAACTCCTAGGTCCTCCGTTGCATCGAATCAACTGGAGGAGAAAACAAAGAATTGGTGCTTTGAACACACACACTTTCGAAATCAATGGAACTCCGTGAAAATTCAGTGGGCCCATATCAGCCTAAGAAGTTCTTTGGGAGCGATTTACAAAGCATTTTGAGTCCCAGGATTGGTTGAAAACGCACAGGAGGCCGCGATATTTGGCTGGTGGATCCACATATTCCTGTAAAATACAAAATGCCCTTCAACTGACCAAATGGTGATTTCAGAATACTTTTCAATGCACACATGTGCAAACTTCTAGCTACCAAGAGAGGTCGCTCAAGAAATCCCTGGTTTTCAAATCATCCTAAAAAACTTGGAAAGGAGACATCCACCATTAGCCTGTTTAATAAGCATCGCAGCACCCCCAAAATATGCTCATCTCAGGTTTGTGAAATATGATGGTTCACACCACTTGACCTGAACTCAGCTGATTTCATACGGGCAGAAGATTGTTTGTGGCTGAGAAAAGGAAATACGGACATGCCATCATGCCGTTGAGGGATGTAATTCGAGTTTTGTGCGCGCAGCTGCCATTCTGATACCGAAGTCACAGCGGTCTTCGGAACCTTTTTGTGCAAAGCTGCAAGGAAAAGACTTTCCGGACTGCAGCCTCCACATGGAAGAGTCCAAGTAATTTGGGAGGATGGTCCATTTGCATGACTTGTCCAGGGGGGAGATTGGAACCACCAGGTTTGGTTGATGTATTTGTTGACTTGAAAAACTTGTTGGGATCGACAACTTGGCAATGACTCGAGGCACCTGAACATCACGAGGGTTCCTATGACAAGCAGCAGCAGCAGCAGCAGCAGCAACAACACACGCAAACAGATATATATATATATACATAGGTATTTAGGTATATATATATATATATACAGGTTTCCTCTTCTTTTTCCTGCAGACACACATTCTAAAGGCAACATTCCCATATTCAGAAAGTCGTCACATACCAAATTATCATCATATTCCAAACCTGGGTTTTGGTATGTTACTTTGTTCCAGCTCAGTGTGAAGGGAATGGTTTGGCCAGTGAAATTTTGCATGGTGCGAAAACAGAATACAAAAAACACTGGTGTGCCTGTCGAAGTTTGGGCTGGGATGGAATTGAATTTTTAGCCGTCCCTATTGGCCTCTCTAGGCATGCATACCCAAAAATTAAATCACTTGGAAGGGACCTGCGCACTCCACAGGCGTCACCGCACTCCACAGGTGTCATCGCATTCACCACACATACTCAGAAATCTTCGCGCTCCAGAACGGGTACCGCATACCACAAAATCTTCGTTCGCATTCGGGACGCGAAATTCCCCAAACAGTGTGTCCACACTGAGGGGTTCTTACGGTAAGTGTAAAGGCCGGTGCTTGATCAGGGTGCCCCCGCTGGCCAGCGGCATTTTACTTGTAAATTCTCGTGCAAAATTGCTATAAATTGCTTTTCTGACATGTGCAAGTCTATTTCGACTGCGCGGGCTTGCACAAAGTGTGGGTCGCGATCGTGGGCCCCGGCATTTTTCCTAAGAATTCTCGCAAAAAATGGCTTCTGTGCTGCGCACGCTCGCGAAAAGTCTGGTCCGCGATCTTGGTCTGCGGCATTTTACCTGTGAACTCTCGCATAAAGTGGCTCTTGTGAAATGTCCGAAGTCCAAGTGCATTTCGACTGCAAAGGCTCGCACAACGTGTGGGTCCCGGTCTTGGGGTCTGTCCTCCTCCTCAACACCATCATCCTCAGCATCATAATCTTCCTCTTCTCAACATTATCATTCTTAACCTCATCATATTCCTCGCCCTTGACCTCATGATCCTCAACATCATCAACCTCCACCTCATCTTCGCAACATCAGCATGATCATCCTTTTCATCATCCTCCTCAACACTATCATCCTCAACATAACCATCCTCCTCCTTCTCAAGATCATCATCCTCACCCTTATCATCCTCATCTTCAGCTTCCTCAACATCATCAACCTCAATATCATCATCCTCAACCTCATCATCCTTAACATCATCCTCCTGCACCTCATCATCCTCAACAACATCGCCCGCAACATTATCATCACCATCATCATCATCATCATTATCTAATATCTGTTCTCACCATCATCATCATCATCATCATCAACATCAACATCAACATTATCATTCATTATTATCCTCCTACTTCCCCACACTGTTTGGGTCTCTTGCCGGGATAATTGATTTTACATTTTTTCCCCAAACACTGTGTCCACAATGAGGGGTTCTTACGGTAAGAGTAAAGGCCTGTGCTTGATCAGGGTGCTCCACCTGGGCCCGGAGATTTTTCCTGTAATCCGCATGAAAAGGCTCTTGTGCAATGTTGAAATGCATTTCGACTGCGCAGGCTCGCACAAAGTCTGCGTCGCGGTCGTGTTCTGCGGCATTTAACCTGTAAATTATCGCACGAAATGGCTCTTCTGACATGTGCAAGTGCATTTGGACTGCACAGGCTTCGCGATCGTGGGCCCCGGCAGTTTTTGTGAGAATTCTCGTGCGCAACGGCTTTTATGGAACGTCGAAGTGCATTTTGATCGCAGGCCCCCACAAAGTCTCGTCCGCGAGCTTTGTCTGCGGCATTTTACCGGTGAATTCTCCCATGAAGTGGCTTTTGTGAAATGTCCAAAGTGCATGTGGGTCCCGGTCGTGAAATGTCCAAATGCATGTGGGTCCCGGTCTTGGAATCTTCCTCCTCTCAACATCAGCATTCTTAACATCATCATCATCCTCCTCCTTGGCCTCGTGATCCTTAACATCATCAACCTCCACCTCATCTTCCGCAACATCAAATTTATCATCCTTTTCATCATCTTCCTCATCATTTTCATCCTCAACATCACCATCCTCCTTCTTCTCAACAACATCGTCCTCCACCTCATCTTCCGCATTTTCAACCTCATCTTCATCATCCTCAACCTCATCATCCTTAACATCATCCTCCTGCACCTCATCATCCTTAACATCATCTTCCTGCACCTCATCATCCTCAACATCATCGTCCACAACACCACCGTCCGCAACATTATCATCCTCATCGTGATCATCAAAAACATTATCATACATTATCCTCCCACTCCCCTGCACTGTTTGGGGTCTCTTGCCGGGATAGTGTTTTCTTCTTTTAAATTTTTAAGCTAAAATGGTTTGGAATCACGTATTTACGGAATATGGGGAAGATGGAGTTCCCACCTGAAACCTTTTTGGAGTTTCACGTGCGCGCGTTCCATGCAAATCTGGTTCTTTCGAGCTCACAGATGTTTTTCTATTTTTTCAGGCACTCCAGCAGGGTCGGCGGGGCCAAGTGTGAAACTTCTCTGGTATGTGAAAAGAATTTTGAATTGTGTAGGGTCCATTGGGAAGGTGTCAAGGGGCCACACATATTGATTTTTTTTCGCATTCCGGTTGCCGGAGAATTATCGTACTCCAGGGGTGTCATCGTACTCCATGGTTTGACATTCTACATTTTGGGATATTTTGGGTGTTTTTGGTTCAAGCCGGGGGCCATGTCAAAATTGTGCTGACAGAAATGATTTTTTGGGGGCAGGAACATGTGCTGTCGACAATGCATGTGCCAGAAGAAAACAGCGTTTGGCTAACATTATGAAACCCACATTTCGCGTGAATGGGGGCTTTGCAGTTTTTTGAAATTTCAGATTTTTTTTGGCATGGAATATCATCGGTTCTGGAATATGGGTAAGATTTTTTTAGACACTTTGTCAATAGAGAATGCGCCTTGGCCGGAACTGAGGTCCTACTGTCCGGAAACCTTCCTGTACGCTTCACCTTCATTCACTTCAGCACACCAGCAAGCCGCAAGCGTTCGCACTCAGCAATTTTGCTTTAAGTTATCACATGATGAGTTTTTTTTCTGGGCAGGTGGCGCATGTTGGCGCGGTTGGCACGGTTACTATCAGCTGCCTTCCGTGGTCAGGTCTGAAATTTAAGGGCAGACAGGGGCAGACAGTCGCTTACACATCCAATTTTTGTCGCTTACAGCTCCAATTGTTTGTGGCTTGTAACTCCGAATAGGGACCTTGTTCAGCGTGTATGTGTGCCAGTGCATGAGTGCCATGCTTAGTTTGCAACGTTAACGTGTATGTGTGCCAATGTTTGTGTGCCATTCTGGGTTTGCGAGCGTCAGTGAACGTCCCACCCCACCCCACCCCATCCCTTGTTCGGCCTGTATGTGTGCCAGTACATGCACGCCAGACTTAGTTTGCAAGTGCCAGTGAACGTTAATGTGTATGTGTGCTAGTGTTTGTGTGCCATTCATGGTTTGCATGTGCCAGGTAACATTAACATTCCACCCCACCCCGCCCCTTGTTCAACGTGTATCTGTGCCAGTGTTTGTGTGCCATTTGTGTTTTGCAAGTGGTAGGGAACGTTAACATCCCACCCCACTCCACCCCTCGTTCAATGTGTATGTGTGCCAGTGTTTGTGTGCCATTCTTGGTTTGAAAGTGCCAGGGAACGTTAACATCCCACCCCACCCCACCTTGTGTTCAACCTGTATGTTTGTGTGCCGTTCTTGCTTTGCAAGTGCTAGGGAACGTTAACATCCCACTCCGGCCCACCCCACCCTGCATTTGTAGATTGTAGGCCTTCAAGGGCATAGAATATGTAGAATGAGATTCCCCTCACAGCTTAAAGAGCGTGGCCAAGTGTGAAAGGATTTTGAATCTTCTTCACTTGACCTCGCAGGGTGATTTTGCTCTACAGACGAAGTGTCAGACCAGGCGGTCACGTGGGCCCTGCCGGTCACAAAAGACCTTGAGCTGCTTAATTATTGTTGTTCCTCTTACATGTTGTGCACATTCAAAGGTTTCGCGGCGTTGCCACTTTTCTTAATGCCAACCAGTCTTTCCTGTAAACCGCTGACTGCGCATTTGGAACAACAGATGCATTCCAAAGCATGTATAGGTCCAATTATTCGATGGACGTCCAAAATTTACATGTGCCATGGTCAAACTGAGGGCCGTCTTCCCCCATGTTTGGGAACGGTCTCTATTCGCTATGATTTTCCATATTGTTGCATTTGTCGCAGATGAACGGGTCACAATATTTCAATGATGAAACATTTAGTTGGGAGTTGGGATGACCATTCCCTGTTTAAGGTGTTTGGACCATGGCACGTATGCACTTGCAAGTCCCATGCTACTTGCAGCCTTCCACTTGTGAGCCCCATGTTGTTCACAATTTTCCTCTGTGCTTGACTTGCTTCGTGGTGGCGTCTCCACATGGCACACCATGCTGCATTCTTGCGGCAGTGCCCCATGCGCACTAAATGCCACGGGCTTTCCCAGCCGACCATGCGAAAACATTATGAATAATTTGACAGAATGGGCAAATTCATTGATGTATTGTGAATTGTTGTGTGATGTATTGTGAATTATTGTGATAAATTTTGACCATATGTGAGTAGGAAACCTGGAGAATTCAACGAACAAGACTTTGATCAAGTGACATCAGGTGTTGGTTGGGACGGCTGATTTTTATTTGGGAAGGACCATTCGCAGCAGGACTGTCAGGCCGGTCCAAACTTATTTGGCAAAACTATCAGGCATTATCGGGTTACTCAGGTTATCTCAGGTTTCATGATTTTCATGTTTGGATTCGAGCCTCCAAACTTCTGCGACTGCTGTGCAGGATTCTGAGACGTGGAGAGCAAGGCATCCAATGTATGCCCTGCTTTGCGCAATGCACAGAAGAAAGATGAAAAAAGTCTGCTGGGAGCCATCTTGCTGCTGCTTGTGTAGAACGCGGCATGAGACCACTGCAATGATGCTGCGCCGTGCCAGCACCGTGCCAGCACCCTGCAACTGCCCAGAAAACGGCTCAAGCTGAAGTTAGCATTTTCTGACAGCTCGTCCACAGCGTCAGCTATGTGCCTTTTTAAGCCTGAGACTGCTCAGACCACCGAGACCGATTCCTCATCTCCCTCATCTCAGACCGAATCTCATGGAGGCTTGCGCTACCTCAGTATATGTTTTACTGAATGTTACACTCCCCAAATCTAACATGGAACTGCATGCTATTGCTGAGGTCCCCTAACATGAACCTATGGCACGGTCTCAAGTGGATTTTGTTCCCCAGGAAATCGTGCAACTAACTTGTTTAATAAAATCACTCCAAAACTGACATGGACCTAATGCAGGCCCAAACTGAACCCAAACTGCACCCTGAAACAGCCAACATGGAATTTGAACAAGTCATCACAAAACGATCTGCAACCTTGAAGGGTGATTTGAAGTTTAGCCTGGAACCCAAGTGGTTTTTAAGGCGTGGTTCTTGCAAATTCCATGTTAGTGACTTTCGGGCGACGCTATTTAACCATCTTCCCACAGCCTTCTGACCTAAGCAGCAACACCTTTTTTCGCATGGTCGCCACACGAGCAAGCAGAGGGCAGGAGATCCAAGCCACTGCCCCCTGCTGCCCCCACACCCAATCAGCACTTGGGCTAGTATATGAACTAAACCACATTCTCACAGGGCGGGCGGGCGGGCGTTTCAAATGCCACAGCCCAGCACACACCCACTACAAGTAGCTGTGGCAAAACACTCACAAGCATACAGTCAGAAGAGTGTGGCAGAGCGTTAGCACTGACCATGCAAGCATAGTAGTGGACCTTCACTTCGTGTTGCGCTCACGGTATCATGCTTTGAACTTGGGTGGAGCCATTGCAATACCAGTTAAACATAGCACCCAGCAAATTATCTGGACATCAATTGAAAGTTTTCTCTGTCTCCGGCAACTGAATGGCTGATGACACCGGAACTGGATTGCCTTCCCGGAACTGTTGGTTGAGCACTAAACTCTTTACCTACCAAGTCCAAGGGGTGCCCATTTAGGTACCAAGCTGGGTTCCATGTTGGTTTGTTTCGGGGAGGGGATCGGCCTCTGCAAGCATACCACACCGTGTTAAGATAAACTTTTTACCAGGTCCAAGGGGTGCCCATTTAGGTACCAAGTTGGGTTCCAGGTTGGTTTGTTTCGGGGGGGCTCGGCCTCTACAAACATACCACACTGTTAAGACAAACTTTTTACCTACCAGGTTCAAGGGGTGCCCATTTAGGTTCCAAGTTGGGTTCCCTGTTGGTTTGTTTCGGAGGGGCTCGGCCTCTGCAAACATACCACATTGTGTGAAGATTACACCAGCATAGACCCCAAACAGCAACAACGCATGTTTCCACCATTTTCCACCAAGGTCATGCGCAATTCAAAATTCATGGAACTGTCTGGCGCACTCCTGTCTTCTGTTTTACTTCTTCATTGCCTCAACCGTACAAATACGAGGCAATAAAAGAGACGCCAAACCAAAAATTGGTACAAGTTGTTTTCTCTTGAGAACAATAGCGCCAGCACAAGCCCATGTGACTTCCGACTAAAGAGACACAGCTGCCCGTGAAACAAATCGATGAGAATATGGAGGCTTCCATTTGGCTGACGAATGCTCAACGAATCAGTAAATCATGATGGAACAGAACCCCTGTCCTGAGGAAAGAAAGAAGAGAGAAGAAGGGAGACAAGCACCAGAACCCAGCCGGCACCAAGAGGAACCAAGAAAACATGATGGAACAGAACCCCTTTCCTAAGGAAAGCAGAGAGAAGAAAGGAGACAAGCACTGGAACCCCAGCCGGAACCAGGAGGAACCAGCAAATCATGATGAAACAGAACCCCTGTCCTGAGGAAAGAAAGAAGAGAGAAGAAGGGAGACAAGCACCAGAACCCAGCCGGCACCAAGAGGAACCAAGAAAACATGATGGAACAGAACCCCTTTCCTAAGGAAAGCAGAGAGAAGAAAGGAGACAAGCACTGGAACCCCAGCCGGAACCAGGAGGAACCAGCAAATCATGATGGAATAAAAAACCCTTTCCTGAGGAAAGAGAGAAGAGAGAAGAAGGGAGACAAGCACCGGAACCAAAGAAGAGAGAAAAAGGAGACAAGCACCAGAACGCCAGCCGGAACCAAGAGGAACCAGCAAATCATGATGGAACAGAACCCCTGTTCTGAGGAAAGAAAGAAGAGAGAAGAAGGGAGACAAGCACCGGAACCAAAAAAGAAAGAATAATAAGGGAGACAGGCACCGGAACCCCAGCCGGAACCAGGAAAAACCAGCAAATCATGATGGAACAGAACCCCTTTCCTGAGGAAAGAAAAAAGAGAGAAGAAGGGCGACAAGGGAGACAAGCACCGGAACCAAAGCAAAGAGAATAAGGGAGACAAGCACCGACAAGCACCGGAACCCCAGCCGGAAGAACCAGCAAATCATGATGGAACAGAACCCCTTTCCTGAGGAAAGAAAGAAGAGAGAAGAAGGGATACAAGCACCGGAACCAAAGAAGAGAGAAGAAGGGAGACAAGCACCGGAACCCCAGCCGGAACCAGGAGGAACCAGTAGATCATGATGGAACAGAACCCCTGTTCTGAGGAAAGAAAGAAGAGAGAAGAAGGGAGACAAGCACCGGAACCAAAAAAGAAAGAATAATAAGGGAGACAGGCACCGGAACCCCAGCCGGAACCAGGAAAAACCAGCAAATCATGATGGAACAGAACCCCTTTCCTGAGGAAAGAAAGAAGAGAGAAGAAGGGAGACCGGAACCCCAGCCGGAACCAAGAGGAACCAGCAAATCATGATGAAACAGAACCCCTGTCCTGAGGAAAGAAAGAAGAGAGAAGAAGGGCGACAAGGGAGACAAGCACCGGAACCAAAGCAAAGAGAAGAAGGGAGACAAGCACCGGAACCCCAGCCGGAACCAAGAGGAACCAGCAAATCATGATGGAACAGAAACCTTTTCCTGAGGAAAAAAAGAAGGGAGAAGAAGGGGACAAGCACAGAACGCCAGCCGAAACCAGGGGGAGCCAGCAAATCATGAGGGAGCAAAGACCGTTTCTAGCAAGAATTGAGAACTCCATTCAGCTCAAGAGCTGTTTGGGGAATAAACTTTTTACCTACCGCGCCTAAGGGGTGCCCATTTAGGTTCCAAGTTGGGTTCCATGTTGGTTTGTTTCGAAGGGGCTCGGCTTCTACAAACATACCACGCTGTTAAGACAAACTTTTTAACTACCAGGTTCAAGGGGTGCCCATTTAGGTTCCAAGTTGGGTTCCCTGTTGGTTTGTTTCGGAGGGGCTCGGCCTCTGCAAACATACCACACTGTGGTAAGATATTTTTTTACCAACATGAAACCCAACTTGGAACCTAAATGAGCACCCCTTGGACCTGGTAGGTGAAAAAAACATCTTAACACAGCGCGGTATGTTTGCAGAGGCCGAGCCTGCCCCGAAACAAACCAACATGGAACCCAACTTGGAACCTAAATGTGCACCCCTTGGACCTGGTAGGTAAAAAGTTTTTCTTATCTTGTGTGGTATGTTTGCAGAAGCCGAGCCTGCCACAAAACAAACCAACATGGAACCTAACTTGGAACCTAAATGGGCACCCCTTGGACCTGGTAGGTGAAATATTTATCTTAACCCAGTGTGGTATGTTTGCAGAGGCCGAGCTCCCCCCAAAACAAACCAACCTGGACCTACCAGGTCCAAGGGGTGCCCATTTAGGTTCCAAGTTGGGTTCCAGGTTGGTTTGTTTCGGGGGGGCTCGGCCTCTACAAACATACCACACTGTGTTAAAATAGACTTCTTACCTATCGGGTCCAAGGGGTGCCCATTTAGGTCCTAAGCCGAGCCCTCTGCAAACATACCACACTGTGTTAAGATAATGTTTTTACCTACCTGGCCCAGGGGTGCACATTTAGGTTCCAAGTTGGGTTCCAGGCTGGTTTGTCTCGGGAGGGGCTCGGCGTCTGCCACACTGTGTCAACATAAACTTTTTACCTACCAGGTCCCAGGGGTGCCCATTTAGGTTCCAAGTTGGGTTCCATGTTGGTTTGTTTCGGGGAGGGGCTCGGCCTCTGCAAACATACCACACTGTGTTGAGATAAACTTTTTACCAGGTCCAAGGGGTGCCCATTTAGGTTTCAAGTTGGGTTCCATGTTGGTTTGTTTCGGGGGCTCGGCCTCTGAGAACATACCACTGTGTTAAGATAATTTTTTTCACCTACCAGGTCCAAGGGGTGCCCATTTAGGTACCAAGTTAAGTTCCATGTTGGTTTGTTTCGCGGGGGTCGGCCTCTGCAAACATACCACACTGTGTAAAGATAAACTTTTCACCTACCAGGTCCAAGGGGTGCCCATTTAGGTTCCAAGTTGGGTTCCAGGTTGGTTTGTTTCGGGGGAGCTCGGCCTCTGCAAACATACCACACTGTGTTAAGATAAACTTTTGACCTATCAGGTCCAAGGGGTTCCCATTTAGGTTCCAAGTTGGGTTCCAGGTTGGTTTGTTTCGGGGCAGGTTCGGCCTCTGCAAGCATACCACACCCTGTTAAGATAAACTTTTTACCAGGTCCAAAGGGTGCCCATTTAGGTTCCAAGTTGGGTTCCATGTTGGTGTGTTTCGGGGGGGTCTCGGCCTCTGCAAGCATACCACACCCTGTTAAGATAAACTTTTTACCAGGTCCAAAGGGTGCCCATTTAGGTTCCAAGTTGGGTTCCATGTTGGTTTGTTTCGGGGAGGGCTCGGCCTCTTCAAACATACCACACTGTGTTAAGATAATTTTTCACCTACCAGGTCCAAGGGGTGCCCATTTAGGTTCCAAGTTGGGTTCCAGGTTGGTTTGTTTCGGGGGGGTCTCGGCCTCTGCAAACGTACCACACTGTGTTAAGATAAACTTTTTACCTATCAGGTCCAAGGGGTGCCCATTTAGGTTCCAAGTTGGGTTTCATGTTGGTTTGTTTCGGGAAGGCTCGGCCTCTGCAAACATACCACGCTGCGTTAAGATATTTTTTAACCTTTCAGGTCCAAGGGGTGCCCTTTTAGGTTCCAATTTTCTGTTTTACATAAACACGTTTAGACACTAGAAAATTACCATGTTTTATTTTTAAAAGTCAACTAAATGTACATATACAAAAGAAAAGGAAAAAAGAAATACAGACGATAAGAATGTTATCGTTTGTATCGTTTTCTGCTGTTTTTAATGTTTCTCAAGCTTTACATCATTTAATGTTACCATTTCTCTTGTCACAACGGTGGGACATGGTGGGACCTCCGGGCGCCACGGGGACACAACGGGTTCCAAGTTGGGTTGGACTTCGACGGGTTTTCACCAGGGGCACGGATTAACCACATCGGGGAGCAACGGGGCAGCCAACAACGGGAGGGAAACAACGGGAAAATGAGAAATGTCACCTTTATGGTGGGTAAATAGGAAAAGCTACTTGTGTAACATTTTAAAAACGGAAAATAATACTGTATGAGCTCTTTACTTTTTGATATATGTATGTTTAAATTTGGATATGTGCTTCAATGTGTTTTTAACTTTGAATATGTGTTTCAATGTGTTTTTAACTTAGAATATGTGCTTCAATGTGGTTATTTTTTATGCATGTTTTCATGTTACAGAAGATGTCAGATAGAATGTCAGAATATTTTTTCAGAGAAAATGTCAGGTAAATTGTCAGAATATGTATTTTAATTAAGTTTCTTTTAAGTCCGGGGACAAAGGTTTGCAGCTAACATGGAACTGTTGGTTGAGCACTAAATGGCAGTTTGTGGGGTTCTATGTTAAAATGACAAGTAGTCAAAAAGTGCCCGAAAATATCAAAAATCACCATCACATACCAACACCAACATGGCACCTACCTGGCACTTATCCCGCTCATGAATTTTAACAAGGGCACGCTAACATGGAACCCAATTTGTTTTTTGTACAACGTTATATATGTTTTCCGGAGAGTACTGAAATTCAAGTTTCAAAGTCGGTCCTCGTCGGATCCGTGTCGGATCCTGTCCCTTTGATTTTCAAAGTAGAGAGAGAGAGAGGGGGGCGTTGCACTGTGGAAGTGAATCATAAAGATCATAAAGTAAGATAAGTAAGCATAAGTCACAAAAGTCACAAAAGTCACAAAAGTCACAAGCAACATTGATAAGCGAATTGAAGGAATCTAGTGAACGAATGTGAAGTAAAGTGAATACCTAGTCACTAGATGTCACTAGTGAACTGATGTGAACAGTGGGCCAGGATCAAAGGCAGAGGCTCGCCGGCGCAACGTCCAAGAAAAGAAGTTCAAGCTGGAAGAAGTGCCCGAGCTGAAACGATTGAAACGTTTGAGCTTGCGGCTACACGGGCCTACACGGGCTAGACCCCAGTTAAAGATATTCAAGTATTCTAAAGTACCACAAAGTACCATAAAGTACCACTATCCGAGATTCTTTCTCTTATATTATGAACTACCGATAATTATTGCATACAGTTTGAGTGCATTTGAAACCGGATGAAACTGGTGCGCATATGTGCACATAAACAATTCGCAGATATTCACAGAACAAGATTGCGCGCCTGCCAATGTCCTCATCAGCTGAGATGCTACAGACAGCTGCAGCTGCCACCAAAGCGGCGTCCACTACCACTATGAAGAGGTGACATGCGGCGACCTGGTGTTGCCATGTGTTGTCATCCATGAATCTCCATGATGATCCCACTAGATTGTAGAATATCCCACGTGTTCCCATGTTGCTGACAATGAGGAATGTGAGGAATGGCAGTGACGTAAATGTGCCGTGACCAGATTGGAACGAGGATGGAACCTTAAGGCGATTTTGATGACTGTATATTCAGGCGTTTCTGGAACCAAAGGCCACGGCAACAGCCGCTGAGATATTAAACGAAGATGTGCTGAGTTCATCTGAGTTTTATGGCATACATTTCATGGTTCCATGCACTCAATTTGTAGAGGTGGCATGCTGGTGGCATGTGCGTTAAGCAATGTTGAGCAATATTGAGCACTTGCCTTCTTTTGCCTTGTTTCTGAATGCTCCTTGATCGCGAGGCGAATCCGTCAGCGGCTCCACAAGAAGTTGGGCACTGTGCTCTCCAAGAAAGATTTTGCCTCAGCCATGGAACGTTTCAAGCTGTTGGAGCAGCTTGGCCTAGCTTGGCCCAGCTTGTCTCGGTTTGGCTTCGGTCGCGAAGCCAACCTGAAGCCAACATAAGTTGGAAATAGTTGGAACATCTTTGAACATATATATATATATGTATAGTCTATATATATACTTATATTTTTTATTTTTTTATATTTTATATAATATATATATATAAAATTAATAATTTCCGATCTAACAACTGTTGCTTCAGAAGCAGTATCCGCATCTACGTGCATGGATATCATGGACTGGGCTGCAAGTGCCACGTTTCCAAAAGATTGTGTCAGACAACTCAGAACTCAGACTGACAACATCCACCCAAAAAGGGAATGAGATGGAATTACATATGATCGATGTGATGGATGTGACCGAAGCCATCCGAAGCCCCACTTGAACGCAGTTCTTTGCAACTGTTCTGGAGCAGGCCACCCAGCTTAGTAACTTAGTAACTTCTGCAACATCCGACGGATTCAGCAATGAACTCGACCAGCGTCAAGCATACCAAGAAAATCCGCATGACGTGACGCGCTAAGTCCTTCCGCTCACAGTTGTTCACGTTTGCTCTGCCAAGGGCTGAAGATGAAGATCGAGAGCCCAAGCCTGTCGAGTCCAGTGAAGCAACTGGGTTTTATTGTTGTTTTTCAGGGTTTCAAACATGTTTCATTGCAATTCTGTCCTTACCTGGGAACATGGCCCGAATGGGATGAATCGATGCAACGCCTTTTCCTGCCATTAAGATCCATTAAGCAAAACAGGTAAGTGCAAAATAGTGCGAATACATCGATAGATGCAGAATGATACATGCATGGAAGCTCAAAGAAAGACCACCTATTCAATCCCATTCGCTTCTTTAGAGAACACTGTTTTGCGGCACTGCCACCACACAAACATATTTATACACAGAATAACATGAATATATACTATATATTCAGTTAAAGAGAAAGACAACATGTCGTTGCGTACAACGACAACGACAACAACAACAACAACAACAACAGCAACAGCAACAACAACAACAACACCAGCAGCAACAAGAACAAGAACAAGAACAACAACAACAACAATCACAACCACAGCCACAGCCACAACCACCACCACCACCACCACCACTACCACCACCACCACCACCACCACGCACGACCACCACTACCCACACCACACCACCACTACCACGACCACCACGACCACCACGCCACGACCACTCCACCACTACCACCACTACCACACGACCACCACACCACGACCACCACACCACCACAACACCACCACCACCACCACCACAACAACCACAACAACCACAACAACCACAACAACAACCACAACAACCACAGCGACAATGACAACGACAACAACAAACAACAAACAACAAAAAACAATAACACACAACAAAAAACAAACAATTAGAATCAAACAGCAAACAACCACAAACAACAACAAACAACCAAACAACAGCAGACAACAACAACCAACAACCAACAACAACCAACAACAACCAACAACAACCAACAACAACCAACAACAACAAGAACAAGAACAACAACGGCAACAACAACAACAACGACCACGACCACGACCACGACCAGGACCACGACCACGACCACGACCACAACCACAACCACAACCACCACCATAAGCACAAGCACAACCACAAGCACAAGCACAACCACAACGACAACAAGAACAAGACAGGAATATCCTTTTTTGCTTTGAAGTGACGTGTCTACACAATGCTTAGTAGGGTTAGTGTTTACACGGTAGATCGCCTAATTCATGTGATTCCACTGCGCCACTCCGTGGCTCAAGACTTGGTAGCATAGCCTAAACAAACCCAAGATGGCAGTTAATGCACTTACTCCGCCCAACCCCCCACCTGCTCCCCAAGGTGGCAAAGCGTGTTGTTAAGTTGTTTGTTGAATACTTGGGAGTGCAAAGTCTTAACGCAAACTATACATGAATCCCTACATGAAACCTAGAATAACAACCTAAAGAAACCAAAGGAAGGTGGCAATGTATATTGTTATATGTTTCCTTGAACTACTTGGGAAATGATACCCCAAAGAAGCCCAGTTCCAGTGATGTGCGCAGTGTGGGAACATTTTGTTGAGGTGCGCAAGTGAGGCTTGTATCAGACACCCGTATTTACAGCAGATCCTGAAATGTCAAGTGCGCAAGTGAGCTTGAGGTGTGCAAGTGAGGTGAAAGGTGCGCAAGTGAGAAAGTTCTGGGTGCGCAAGTGAGGCGTTTGCCGTCGAGGTTTGGGCTGGGATTGGGAATTGAACCTTTAGCCGTCTCTATAGGCATGCATACTCAAAAATCAACGCGCTTGGAAGGGACCTGCGCACTCCACAGGTGTCATCGCATTCACCACACAGACTCAGGAATCATCGCGCTCCAGAACGGGCACCGCATACCACAAAATCTTCGTATTCGGGACGCGGAATTGATTTTTTTTTCCCGTCTCAACAGGTGTTTTGTCTTTTGAAACTAAAACGGTTTGGAATTTGGAATCACGTATTTTTGGACTATGGGGAAGATGGAGTTCCCACCTGAAACCTTTTTGGAGTTTCACATGCGATCGCATCCCATGCAAATCTGTTTCTTTTGAGCTCACAGATGATTTTTACCAGGCGCTCCAGCAGGGTCAGCGGGGCCAAGTGTGAAACTTTTCTGGTATGCACAAACAATTTTGAATGGTGCCGGGTCCATGGTGAAGGTGCCAAGGGGCACACATGCTAAATCTTTTTAGCATACCGTTTACCAGGGAATTATCGTACTCCAGGGGTGTCATCGTACTCCCATGGCTTGACATTCTACATTTTGGGATATTTTGGGTGTTTTTGGTTCAAGCCGGGGGCCATGTCAAAATTGTGCTGACAGAAATGATTTTTTGGGGGCAGGAACATGTGCTGTCGACAATGCATGTGCCAGAAGAAAACAGCGTTTGGCTAACATTATGAAACTCACATGTCGCGTGAATGGGGGCTTTGCAGTTTTTTGAAATTTCAGATTTTTTTTGCATGGAATAGAATCGGTTCTGGAATATGGGTAAGAAATTGTTAGACACTTCGTCAAAAGAGAATGCGCCTTGGCCGGAACTGGGGCCCTACTGTCCGGAAACCTTCCTGTACGCTTCACCTTCATTCACTTCAGCACACCAGCAAGCCGCAAGCGTTCGCACTCAGCAGCTTTGCTTTAAGTTATCACATGATGAGTTTTTTTGGGGCAGGTGGCGCATGTTGGCGCGATTGGCCCGATTCCCGACATGCCATGAGAGTCCTGCCACCATGCCATCGCTATCAGCTGCCTTCCGTGGTCAGGTCTGAGATTGCTGTCTTCACGCATGCGTGGCTGTCCACATTCCAAAGCATCCAGATGCAATCCGGTTGTCCCTGGAACTGGGGTCATAAAGGCGGTTGACGCAGCCAACTATGTGAAACTCTGTACTTTCAGGCAATACTTTATGAAGTTGAACCAGTTGAACTATAGAAGAGTGGCAGACACGGCATGACACTCCGATGCCAGTAAATTGTAGAAAGATTGTTGCATGCTTGGTGCTTAGGTCTGAAGACTTGAAGATACTTAGCTTGGCATCACATCAGGGATAGATCTGGCCCTTGCGTTAGTATCACGTCAAGAAGATTCGGAGCACGGATGTGCATGTTTATACCATGTTTATACCTATTTCATATATGTCATGTTGCATTGAGATCTCTTTGTAGGTTGCAGGCCTTCAAGGGCATATAATATAGAATGAGATTCCCCAGGCAGCTTAAAGAGTGTGGCAAAGTGCGAAATGACTTTGAATCTTCTTCACTTTTAAGTCGTTATTTTGAAAGGCCTCGCAGCGTGATTTTGCGCTACAGACGAAGTGTCAGACCGGGCGGTCACGTGGGCCCTGCCAGTCACAACAGACCTTGAGCCGCCCAATTACTGCTGTTCCTTCTACATGTTGTGCACATTCAAAGGTTTCGCAGCGTTGCCACTTTCGAATATTGATGATCATTCTCAATGCATCTTAATGCCAACCAGTCTTTCGTGCACACCGCTGACTGCACATTTGGAACAACAGATGCATTCCAAAGCATGTATAGGTCCAATTATTCGATGGACATCCAAAATTTACATGTGCCATGGTCAAACTGAGGGCCGTCTTCTCCCATGCTTGGGGACGGTCTCTATTCTCTATGATTATTCCATATTGTTGCATTTGTCGCAGATGAACGGTTCACAATATTTCAATGATGAAACATCTAGTTGGGAGTTGGGATGGCCATTCTCTGTTTAAGGTGTTTGGACCATGGCACGTATGGACTTGCAAGTCCCATGCTACTTGCAGCTTTCCACTTGTGAGCCCCATGTTGTTCACAAATTTCCTCTGTGCTTGACTTGCTTCGTGGTGGCGTCTCCACATGGCACACCATGTTGCATTCTTGCGGCAGTGCCCCATGCGCACTAAATGCCACGGGCTTTCCCAGCCGACCATGCGAAAACATTATGAATAATTTGACAGAATGGACAAATTCATTGATGTATTGTGAATTTTTGTGTGATGTATTGTGAATTATTGTGATAAATTTTGACCATATGTGAGAATAGGAAACCTGGAGAATTCAACGAACAAGACTTTGATCAAGTGATATCAGGTGTTGGTTGGGACGGCTGATTTTTATTTGGGAAGGACCATTCGCAGCAGAACTGTCAGGCCGGTCCAAACTTATTTGGCAAAACTATCAGGCATTATCGGGTTACTCAGGTTATCTCAGGTTTCATGATTTTCATGTGCGGATTCGAGCCTCCAAACTTCTGCGACTGCTGTGCAGGATTCTGAGACGTGCAGAGCAAGACATCCAATGTATGCCCTGCTTTGCGCAATGCGCAGAAGAAAGATGAAAAAAGTCTGTTGGGAGCCATCTTGCTGCTGCTCGTGTAGAACGCGGCATGAGACCACTGCAATGATGCGCCGTGCCAGCACCGTGCCAGCACCCTGCAACTGCCCAGAAAACGGCCCAAGCTGAAGTTAGCATTTTCTGACAGCTCGTCCACAGCGTCAGCTATGTGCCTTTTTAAGC